TCAGTCCCCGCCCCCACTCCAGTCAGCAGCTGGACGCACACAGGCTGTGTGTGGTACCCCTCCGCACCCGGGAAGCTCGGGAAGCTCTCTGAAACCCTCGCCAGCCTCCACCTGCGGGTCGGAACTCAACTCAGCATTCCTCCTCTGGACCCGCCAGTCTCTTGTTACGATGTAACAGTAATAAAATGAAAAGTGTGCAGTAAATGGGCACGCTGACTCCTCCAGAAACCAGCCCTGCCCCAGTCCATGCAAAACTGTCTGTCATGGGGACCGCTGCCCCGCAGGGATGCACCGAGAGCCTCCTGTAGGCCTAGCTTGGGCTGGGGCCTTGCCCAGTAGCTGTTCGGGTCCCAGCCATGCTCAGGGAAACACGAGGCACCCACCCACTGCAGAGATAAGCAAACCGAGGCCTGAGAGAGACAACTGAGGCCCAAGGCCCCCCTCTGGCCAGCGGCAGGGCAGGACCTCCGACACACAGCCCAGGGACGAGATGTCTTTGTTGGAAACTTTCTAAGCATCTAAACCTCACGGGATCGGGAAAATGAGCTCCCTCGTGGGTGCCCAGTGCTCACGCAGCGCTCCTGCCCACACCGCCAGCCTCCAAGCCACCCCAGAGGGCGGCTGCTCGTCCGACTCCCCGCGCCCAGCACACGAGCACTATCCATCTCCAGGTGGGCAGCCAGGCTACCTCAGCCCGTCTGGGTGGGCGAGGTGGGCTTCTGTCACTGCCAGGGAGGGAACAGGGAACCTTCACAAGCTGCAGACACTGACTTGAAGATGAGAGAGAGAGAGAGAAGGGAAGATGAGGAGGGGAAGGCCAAGAAGAAAGGTGGGCGGGTTGGGAAAGTGGGTGGGAAACAGGCCTGGGGCAGGAACGTGTGCTTAAGTCCTAGGCTCTGCCACCCACTGGCTGTGTGGTCTTGCCCAAGTCACTTGAGCTCTCTGTGCTTCAGTTTTGTCCAACAATTAGAAGTGCCGCGCGGGGCACTAGCATGCCCCGTGCACGAGGCTGGGCCGCGTCTCAATTCCTGGGGCGTGCTGGGGTGGGGAGGGCCGCCTGTCAGCTTTCCTGGCGCTCAGTCTGGAGACGAAGGCCCCGCGCCAAGGCCTGCCGGTGCCGCGGTGGTTGAGGCCGTGGGACACCCTACGGCTGACTATGGTTTGAGTCCTGGACCTGGCAGCTTGAAAAGCCCTGGGCACATGTACGTGCCCAGAACCCAGAGAGGAGAATGGAGAAGGGATTACAATGTGGCACGGCCTGGGGTGGGGGGAGCTTTGCGCACGCCCTCTCTCCCTCTCTCTCTCTCTTCCTCTCTCTC